CCAGCGCTTGGGAGGCAGAGGCAGGCGGATCTCTGTGAGTTCAAGGCCAGCCTGGTCTACATAGTGAGTTCCAGGACAGGACAGCTGGGGCTATAGGGAGACCCTGTCTCAAAAAGACCAAAAATAAAAATAAAAAAGCAAGAAAACCAGTCCAAGAAGCTGGACTGATCTAACTCAGACAACTAACCCTAATAGAAAGCAAATTATGGCCCTTGTAACAATTGGCCTAATGGCTGACTTGATTAATAACTGAGAACATGCCTAATTTTTGTCTCTACATTCAATCAGAAAAAGCCGAATATGCACCCCAACCCAGTCACAGAGGACACTCTGCTTCTGGGAAGTCTACCTGTCGCTTTCCCAGCTGAGTGCATCTGAAGCTTCCTTCCTGTCCACTCTGGAGCTTTGCAATATCCCTGCCTTCCTCTGTGTTCTGCCCAAACACAAGTGATGGTGACTGACTCCCTTGCTATATACTTTTGAAGTCTTCATCTGACTGGCTTTCAACTATTCCCCCAGAGCTTACTTACTGGAAACTCCAGGAGAGGGGCCACGCTAGCGAACAGCTGGAGCACAAAAGGTTTCCGGTGTAGAATGTAAAACTGGTGGCAGGCAAATTCGATGGCCCGACGCAACTGGGGATTGCTTTCATAGTCAGAGTACACCTACAGAGAAATGCCACATGTTTAAAAAGTGCCTCCACAATGTGCTGAAGTAGTCTTTCCTTTTAATACTTCACATAGCCGTGAGAAACACTGAAAAGGGCTGATTTCAAAATAAGCTGATAGAAGGGAGTGTAAAACGGCATCTGCTTTCCTGATATAAATTTGGTAACAGACATAAAAACTCTGTGATCATAAATTAACTTCTCCAGCTTATGTCAAGAAATTGATGTTTGTCTAAAAATATGTACTTCAAGATTGTAATAGTAGAAAGCTTGAAATAAGTAAAATTACTCATAAGTGGGGTCTAGTTAAGTGACTATGGTAATGCAAACAATGGAAAGGTTGTTTAAAGAGATGGTCAACAGCTCGAGAGTTACATAAAAACATTCACACAATGTTTCTTTGTTACTTCATAAAAAAAAACAGGTTACAAATGTGAATATGTGGTATAACACAACTTTTATTTTGGAAAAGTGTGTACATGTATGTGTGTAGATTTTCAAGGAATATCAGGGTTATATGGGAAGAAGTGTGCAAGGGATCTCCACTTTCTGTTTTAATTTTATTGTTTCAATTTTACAATGGGCATAAAGTACTTTGTAATCAATAAAAGGGAAAAAAACTGTCATTACTTAAAAATAAGGCTGAGAGTCTTGTGATAGTAAGAGCAAATTTCTTGCCCTCACTGGATGGAACAGGATGTATTTTGCATTGAGTATATGCTATTTTCATGTTTATTAAAGCTTTCCCCCAGTATAAAGGCAGCTAGGATTAACCCTAGATACTGTCTGAATTATAGTCAGTACTCCTTAAGTATAGCCAGACAGACACTGGACATGAGTAAATGGAAAATGTTCTTCCTAAATTCACCTCCTCCAAGACCATCAACATAAATTTATGGCTCTGGAAATCCTTGTTCAAACCGAGGCCACAGCAGAAGACAACTGCTTTACAGTTGACTTCACGGCAGCCCAGAGGGCCTCTCACTGCCTGGAGCTTACTTGCTAAAACACACACACTGCTGGGCCCTCAGAGTTTCTGACTCAGAAGGTCTGTGATGGGGCCCAGGAAAGTACATTTCTAGCAAGTTCTCAGGTGATACTGGGGCTGCTAGTCCAGGGACCACACTTTGGGAATTATTGCACTGTTAGAAATGGGAAAGCAAATTCTAACTCCCAACTCTGGGACAGATATCTCAGGAGAGCATGGAATAGTGTGAACTCTTAAAAATCTATGGGGGAATTTCAATGGGTGCCTTCTGCCATCACAAAGGAAGATAACTTTGTCATGAAAGTTTCAGTACAGATCTTGTCAGACTGCTAGATAAAGGCTGGGTCATTTCTGTGTCTAGGAGAGGAGGCTCTGGGCACCTGCAGCATGGTGGGAAGAATCCACTGGTAGCCACTGAGAGAGAAGAGATGATTGAAGTGCACAGCCGTGTTGATGACAGTGGCTGCATACTGCCTAAGCAGGGCACTGTCTTCTGGATGGAGGATCAGGGCCCCGTTAAACACGTTGAGAAAAAGCATGATTTCATCTCCCCAGGGAAACTCGCTCGGCATGCCTAGGAACATCTCCTCCAGGAGCTGGATCCACAAGCTTTTCTGAAGGGTGTCAAGGCCAAACAGTTCCTTCCCAGCTGTGAGAACACGAAACAGCAGGGACAGAATTAGCCCCAGATCTGCTCATGTCAGCATGAGCAGGCGATCAAATGCCAGCTCTACTCTTCTTTATTTATCAATCCCAGGTCCAGAGTGAAAGAGTCTGCTGTTGAAAGGCTTCCCAGGACAACATTGCCAGCGCTGGCACAACACCAATCTCAAACAACTTGCACCAACACCTAAATAAACTGCAGCACTGAAAGAAATGCTACTTCAGCTATGTAATGGTGAGGGCTGGCATTAGTGCCTGGTTTTCTTACCACTACTCAGACCAGAACTCTCTCCATGACTGCTCTGCACCTTCTGTCTGTGGCACACCGACGTGCGGAGAGGGTAATTTAAGTGACTTATTCTAAATTGACAGTGGTGACAGACTGGGGCTCCCAGTTTGTTCTCTTATAATTTCTCTCTCTTTCTATCTCAATTCAGACTTAATTTACAATAAAACGAACAGACCTTAAATGCAGTGCTCAGTGAGTTTTGCAATAGTAGGCCCTCGTGTAAACAGTGTCCAATGAATACATAGCTGATTTTCATCACCTCCAAAAGTTCCCTCATGCCTTTGCCAGGTAATTCATTCCTTCTCAGTCCAAAAGCAACCACTGCTCTGGATTGTGTCACCCAGCATTAGTCTGACCTAAAGATCTTCATTTACATCTTGCTTTTTGCTCGCTCAGAGAACAACCTCCCCTTAGCACTACCACCTTCACCTGGAGGGATCAGCTGCCAGCGCTGGGCTCCAAGGCCAGTGCTTGGAACAGCAGTGTCTGCATCACCAGCATTGCATGGGAACGTGTTAGACATGTCAGCTTGGGATTCATCCTGGAACTGGTAGATGAAGGATGAGCACTATCGGTCTGAGTTTTAACACACCCTCCAGGTGATTTGGAGGTTTGAGAACAACTGGCTTCTAGAGCTATCTGCTCATAAAATGTGCTGTAGGTCAGATAAAATAAGAGCACGAGAAAAGCTGGAGAAGAAAGGCTGCTTTCTTGCAGTACCTTGAGGATCACTGAAGAGTGAAAACTCAGCATCTATGGCACTTCTCGGGAAGGAAGGCAGCCGGAGCAGGTCTTCCTGAAGCATAGAGACATGGGACTGCTTGTGGGCTGTGGGGATCTTCTGGGTTAGGGAGATGAGAAACAATACCCGCCCAACTTCCTCCAGCTTCCGGGTGAACACCTAGCAGGAAACAAAGGCAGGAACAGACAAAAAGCAGGATTAGGAACTTTACAGTTGAAGCGTGAAGATGCTGAAGTCAGATTTCAGTATCAAACTTTGCTGGTAATGGAGGAGAATGGAAAGAGGGGTGTTTTTAATTTACCACATTGAAAGGACAAACAATACTTAATAGACTCTCTGCTCCTGCTTCTGTCTAAGCTTAGGAACTTCATGGCCTAACACAGCACAAGGCAGGGCTTTTCGAGATAGTTCAGAATTACACAGAGCCCATTTGTATGGTGCCGTAGAACAGAAGCCTTGTTCTGTCATGGAGTCAGCCAACCACAGTTCCTCTGCTATTTCCATAGATGCCTGAAGCTGTTTCCTGGCAGTTCTGGATTTGTTTATTTTTAAGAAAAGACTGAAATAGAATCTAGGAAAACACTACCAAGATCAATGCTGAGAGGCCCTCCATGACAGCTCTTCAGCCCCAAGTTTGGATGGCATGTCTATGGAGCTCCTGGTTTCATTGTTAACTTTCATTTCTCTTGATAATTACTGGGTAAAGGGAAAGGATTAGGAAGTTCCTAAGTAACGAGCAGCTGTCAATGAATCTCCTGAGCTGGATCATCAGTCTCCATGTCATCATCTCTCTGAGAAACTTAGAAGTCTCAAGATTCCAGTTTGCAGTACAGAGAGCAAGAGCTCTCATTTGTGGCACTCCATTTTGCTGTCAAAATTAAAGGCTGAGATCATTTTAGAGATTTGGTTTTAGATGTTCATATTTAAGTTTTGCCCAGCACTTTATACTTGGCAATAGACTCATTCATTCTTTTAAGACCAATTTAGGCAGTTAATAGTAGCTATTTTAAAACATTACTTACATGGTCTAATGCTATGCTATGTTCATTTACTTCATGAATGATATTTTTGAATAGTCTGATGCACAGGATAGCATCCTTGATGTGTGTAGAAAAACTGGAATGATTAAGTATCTTCAAATTCTTGTGTATGTAGTCTACTTAAAATAAAGGTAATAACTATGCAGATTAAAATTGTACTAATGAAAACTATCAGATTTTGGAATTTTGCACTAAAATCATATTTTGCATGTAAATTTATGACTTTCCTTGAGATCAGAATCAGATTTGAGATTAAGTATGAGAATGGTATCCTACTCTTTGATACTAAATTTAAGTGCCATTTCTTGGCTCTGTCTCTTTTTGTTTTAAGAAAACTTATTAAGGGGCTGGAGAGATGGCTCAGTGGTTAAGAGCACTGACTGCTCTTGCAGAGGATCTGGGTTTGATTCCCAGCACCCACATGGCAGCTATGAACTGTCCTTAACTCCAGTTCCAGGGGAATCTGAAAATCTCTTCTGACTTCCACAGCATTGCATGACAGGGATGTACCCACATACATGAAGGCAATACACTCATACACATAAAATAAAAATAATAAATAAAAAAGGAAAAGTTATTAAGGTCAGATTCCTGGTTAATTGCAGAGTTGGAATAGAATCTAAATTTCTGGTTCTCAGTCCAATGTTATTTCAGGTACAGTATTTAGACTCACTTTTACTAATTTTGAACTTATTTAAGCCACTGTGTTAATGATCTAATAACTATTATGTATATATGCTCTATGTATTGTATGTGAGTATGTACAGGTGTGCTTGCCAGAGGTCAACTTTAGGTGTCTTTATCACTTTTAAACCTATTTTTATTATTTTTATTTTATGTGTATGAGTGTATTGCTTACATGTGTGTTAGTACACCTGTGTCATGCAATGCCCATGGAGGTCAGAAGAAGGAAGGCATCAGATCCCCTGGAACTGGAGTTAGTCACTATGTGGGTGCTGGGAACCAAACCTTGGCCCTCTGCAAAAGTAGCCAGTGCTCCTAATTGCTGAGCCATTTTTCTAGACACCTTAACCCTAGTTTTGAGACAGAATCTGTCAGTGAACCTAGACTTCACCATTTTGACTATAGTAGCTGGCTACAGAGCCCCATGGATCTACCTGTTTCCTTTCCACCCCAGTATCCCAGTGCTGGGGGGGGGGGCACTCTATCACACTTGGTTTTTTATGTGAGTCCTGGGGATCTAAACTCAGGTTCTTATGCTTACACAGCAAGCAGTTTAATCACTGAACTATCTCTCCAGCCTCCACTTTTTCTTTTTTCCTTTTGAGAGAGAGACTGACTCAGGCTGGCCTTAAAGCTCATGTATAGTTTTGTATAAGCTTGAACTCTGGACCTTTCTGCTTCATTCCACCTCCTAAGTACTAGGGTTGCATTCACACCTTACCACATCTCACTCATTGCATACACTTTTAAGCCTGTTTTACGAAAAAAGTGTGAAATGAAAATCCATACCTAGAAAAAAGTCAGTTAATAAGTCAGATTATTTCTACATGTATTTCCTATGACTCATAACATCATTACAAATGGGTTTCTCTTAACACTTTATGCATCATGATCTAATTTTAAAACAAACATATTTGAGGGGCTATTCTATTGAGCAAGGTCATCCATCATCCAGTACTTGAAGAAAGGACTGTAATGGAACCATAGGCTCTCAAGGTTGACAATGTGTTTATAGATCACCCTCCCAACAACATGACACAGAAGAAAATGGAGAGGTTAGACAACCTGTTTCTGAATGAGCTCCTGTCCCTTCTCCGGATGCATATGTACAAGGTTCAGCTGTGGGGATACAGACCTCCGGAAGGGATAAATATCTCGAACATAGGTCTGTGATGGATTATACAAAGAGAAAAAATGAATTCAAAATCAGTTAAATTTTATTTTTATTTCTTCTTTATCCAAAAGTCAGACAGACAAAAAGTTCATTTATTTTCTTAGGGCTTTTGTTTTTGCTGCTTTTGCACTTCTCATTTCTACAGAATCCTAGGGAAGGGAAGGCCCTCCTCAAGGTGACAGTGGTGCGAGTGGTCAGGAGACTCCCAAAATAACACAGGCTATTGCCAAACCTCTTAGTTATCTCTCAGAACTAGCAGATAAGACCCTACTGCTGAAGGCAGGATGTGCTTCGGACATAGGACTTAGGGCAATGGAGCAGGAACTGACCTGAAAGCCTTCTACCCAAAGTTTAGCTATCATAATGCTAGAAGATAAAATACAAACTGTCACGGGAGAAAAACAATTGATGGTCCAACCAGTCCTAAATCCTAATAACCATAACAACTGGCATGGCAAACTACCTCTATAGTGCAGTAGTGGCCCTGTTATCTGGGGGCAATCAATAGCTGTCTAATTGGACTTTAAGCCCTTTAAATGGGAGTGAACTCATAAGTGGCACTGTAAACTCAGCCAAATACATATGACAAGAGGGAACATATATCCTAGAGAAAACTGTATCTCTTTCATATCTCTAGACAAATGAAATTTCTTACCATATTGGATTCTTATATTCACAGACAAGCACACTGTACATCACTCATCAAAGAAACTCCTTTTTGCAACAGATGGAGGCTACTGCAGAATTCCACAACTGCTTAGACACAGAGAATATATGTCTAAGAGATGCCAAGTACTAGGTGACACATCTACAGTTGAACCTCTACACCTTAGGCTCATGGAATATAGAGGAACAAGGGGTGGAGAGAAAACCAAAGTATACCTCAACTCTCACCAGTAAAGCTTCCTTATACAAGAGTGTGAAGCATACGGAAGGCTAAAACTGGCCAAGTTTTAAGGAATAAGAGACTGTAGAATGTGTATCCTTGGATGAGACTTCTATAATGACCCTCACCCACCCATGGCTCAGGGACCATTGTGTAAGAGGGGGCAGAAAGATTATAAGAGCCAGGGCTGGTTCATAAGCCAGGGAAGCAGAGGCTTTCAGGCCACTGGGAGCTTGCACATGTGAAATTGTGGCAGTGGTGGCATCGAGCACAGGACACATGCCAACTCAATTAAACAAGGACTCAGAGAGGAGGAGAGAAATAGGTGGCGCCCTCCTTGGGTGTTTTGCAACATGGGTGCACTTGCATACATGCAGGCAGTACACACATACACATAAAATAATAAAAAAAAATTTTTTAAACACTCATACAC